CAACATGCAAAACCTAAGCCTGTAAACCCTAATACCCCTGTGGTGCTACTCCGGGCTAACCTACTTTTAGCAGCCTGCGCAGGTCCGCAATCAAAGACAATCAGCTCTGTAGCGACCTCCGAAAGGGCCAGGGCTCAAGACAGTCATGCAAACCAAACATGTTGGTATGCTCATTTGCAAGGTTACTTGAACCTCAGGGCCCTCAAACCTAAATCTTAAATCCTGATCCAAAGTACGTGAAGAAACCTACAGAATCGTCTGCTTCTGACATAGATTGGGTTCTCCTCCTCCTCCTTCTAGTAGTGCTACTCGTGTACCGACTTGTACTTGTCTTACAGGAACTAACACTCGAAGTTTGCTTCATAGTTGTCACTATGTACTTCTACTTGACCTGGGGGAATAAGAATCTCGAAATTTCCCTTCTGAGGTGTGCTACGAAACTCAGGGGCTGGAGTAAACGCACTAGTTTCCATGATGCTGTCTATGTTGAACAGGATCGTGGCTTAATGTAAGGTGTGGGCGCAGGAGAAACCAGGCAAACTATGCGCGGTGTGACCGAGGATCTACTCACTTCTCCTCTTAGTAGCAGCACTGGTACCTGTGATACAGCTGGCAGTACTACTGTAGCCCCCCAACACCGTTTCAAGCAGCAGGGCCTTCGTTTCTCTGATGGAGCAGCTCATTCTTATCCGTACCAGTCATCCCCAACATCATGACCAATCTGGCAGCTAAGGGGCGGAAAAAAAAGACTAAAGATCTGTCGCTCACAAACCAGTGAGCTACAACAGCAGCCAAACTGAGTTCAAGCATATGCCCCCTAAGGGTCCATTACAACAGCAGCCAAACTGAGTTCAAGCATATGCCCCCTAAGGGTCCATGTACCCAAATAATGTATACTTTGGGCCCAATGTATCGATATGGGGAGTACTTTAAGGCCAATGTATATACTGTATATACTATATGAGTACATGGACCCTTAGGGGCCTACATCGTCAATATGGACATTATTGCAAATTGTGAAGACCCACATGGCCACGAGCTCCCAGCCTAACGCACCCGAATGGCCACAAGCTGTCATTGTGGTGAGTGGCCGGCTTGGCGCTGCCATCATTATTCTTGCCTGGCGTAGCCCCTGCAGAGAAGTGGCTTTCCAAGAGACCTGCAAGGTCTTCCTGCCAGAGAGCGTGCGAATTGCAGCAGATGTGGCAGATGGCTTCTCGATCCGCCAGTCTATCACGCAAGTCCGTGTGCGGGTCGCCAAGGGTGAAGCCGTGACATCGGATACTCCGATTTTCCTGAAATGCCATCACAGCCTTTGAGTCAGACAAGCCACAGGCCATAGAGGCCCGGTAATTGTCAAGGAGCTTGGCATGTGTCAGCACCCTTCGTTTCGCTCCAAACACTCAGTCCTTCGGCCACCTTGGCCACTGTTATGCCTGCTATTTCCCTAAGGGTCCAAAGGACCCAATAATTAGGTACTCGGTTCTAGGATAGTAGTTATGTAGGTAAGGGTTCTGGAGAGAATATGATATTGGGTACTTGGACCCTTGCGGTTTTGCTTTAGTTTTGCAGTCTCAAGGTCCAGTCTAGGTCTGTCTTAATACAGGGCAGTTCATCTCCTGCCGAAGCTCCATAACCAAAAACATCTGGGCCCTGCACACCCTGTAAACCATGTGAACCCAAAATCGAAGCTACTATACCTTAACCTACCAGAGCCGACCTTTTTTGCAGGATCCCTATAAAACCCATATTAAGGTTTATGATCAGAGTCTACAGAAAAAGGTAGGGTTTAATAGGTCTGGGTAGGTGAATCCCCCAAATGCTAAATCCCAATAAAATAAACCCTGATGGATCTCCCAAGCCCCCACCCTAAACCCTAAACCCTAAACCATCCCAAACCGGGGAACACTGGGGCCCCCACGATACCCAACAGGTAGGCCACGCACAGCGAGGCGAACGTGGCGCCAGGCCGGGGTAGTGATACCGACCTCAAAGGGGGTCTTACCGTACTCTTGCAGGGACTTACCAAGAATCTGGTCCATGATCGGGATAGTATTAATTAACAATTTATATTGCCATTCCTTATTGGGCTTAAGTGCCCATAGACATGTAAATGCTTCCCAACCATGACAAAGGAGTAGAACGAATAGGGTTCTGAGAGAACTGTCATACTATAGTTATCACAATCAGGAACCTTAAGGCATGTTTCAGTCCGCTAATTTGTAAGGCCCCTAGTATTGGGAGTTGCTGGGCGGTTTTCAAGGCAGGGTTTAGGTTAGGATTTACCTATAGTCTCCATTGTAGCTTTGCTTTTTGTTTAACTATTATAGGATCCTAACCATAAAACTGGTTAACCAAAAAAAGGAACTACAATGGAGACTACAGGTAGGATGTAGGATACCAGGGTTCATGGAGTTTTGCCGTTTGAGAGAAATGGAAGGCTCCAAAAACTCACAGTAAGCTTCTGCCCCCCCAATGTTCCGCAGACGTCCGAAAATTGGCAGCGCATGCCATCACGGTACAGGTATATGATATATGTTGCTATCCTGTGCCCCAAAACCGTCGTCTTCTGCATTATCATGAGTTCAGACCAGAGCAACTTATACGCAGCTAGCATTCCCCTAAGCTTGCCTCGGACGTCTCGTGTATACGGTTTGGAAGTTCCTAGGCACCCTGAACCCTAAAGCCAAGATACATTAAACCTAAATCTTCAAGGACGGGCTTGGAGTGCTCAATTTCGAGTCACGGATGCCACTGGGTTTCAGGAAAAGCTGCAATGGCAAGAACGTTGGCTGAGAAGTCAATTTCGGGTTTAGGACTTGCGGCTCCGGGCTTTCAGGCTATGGGCTTAGAGACTACATCCAAGATGTCGCCCATGTTTCGGCACGTTTTGCTCTGCAACGGGAACTAGGCGCCAAGATACAGCGGCCTTGACAGCTGGAGTACAGGCTTGGAGTATTTTCTAGTAAGGTTAAGGACCCTACGACATAGTCATAGTATCATAAGTCTGCACCCCAAAGACGCCCTATACAACTCTGTCGGCCTAATTTACGCCCTTTCAGGAACCTAAAGGAATACGGCTGATGGACAAAATCCTGCATTACCCTAAGGACTCTAAACTATGGGAATTATGGTATATTTCTTCTTATGGGCAATGCAGGATTTTGTCCATCAGCCGTATTATGGATCATTACCTTGGATAAATCAACTTCTCAGGCTCCAACCTTACCCTGCAACCTTTTAATTGCGCTCAGCTCACATGATGTGTGGATTCGTCTAGCTTTGGGTCGCTAAAGAGGAGTCCGGGCAAAAACATGCAGCAAGTGCGCCAAAAAAGACTTAATGTCGGAGATAGCGTGCTTAGGTCTTGACATGGTAAGGTTAGGGCTCTACAGATCTTCAACCTTACTTTAGGGTTTAGGGTTTAGGGTTTCCCAAACCCCTCAACCTCGCGAGACAGAGCATAAATGCAGGGTTAATTTGCATCTCGACGCTCGCACAAAACGGTTTCGCTCACCCTGTACAGGACTACATGTCGAAAATCACAAGGGCCTCGGGCATCCCCTTGCCATGGCACTGTACAAGTATGGCTCTTCTGTACAGAGCCAGCGCAGTTCAAAAGTTTGATACAGTTGCTGACAATCCATTTATTAATACTTGCTTGTGCGAACGTACATATGTATCTATCAATACAGACACGGGGAATATGTAACTACAACGTATACCTACTGATACATATCTATGAATGTATATATGTATACAATATGAACATATACATCTCTGTATATACATGTATATGTCACCATAAAGAGAACGGCAAACAACATATCACAGCATTTCTGCAGTTTGGGCATTTGACCCGACAGCTTGGCAGCCGGTTGTTGGGGCTAATCGGTCGCTGCGCTGCGGCCACCAAAAGGTCTAAAAGGCGGATCGTGGGAAACAACAGGCTTCAGTAGAAATCAAGCAAGCTGCTGCATGACCTTGAATGCTATATAAGTGACCCTTAAGCTCCGTGTATGCCTCTACAACGTATGTGATTCGGCGAGTCACATGTGGTATCAATGTGTGAGTGTGGGTGAAGGAGGAAGAGGAGTAGCAGCGCCGTAGTCGAAGTCGAAGTAGTAGTAGTAGTAGTAGTAGCAGCAGCAGCAGCAGCAGTAGTAGTAGTAGTAGTAGTAGTAGTAGTAGTAGTACTAGTACTAGTACTAGTACTAGTACTAGTACTAGTACTAGTACTAGTACTAGTACTAGTACTAGTACTAGTACTAGCACTAGTAGCATTAGTAGCATTAGAAGTAGTAGTAGTAGTAGTAGTAGTAGTAGCAGTAGCAGTAGCAGTAGCAGTAGCAGTAGCAGTAGCAGTAGTAGTAGTAGTAGTAGTAGTAGTAGTAGGAGTAGGAGTAGGAGTAGGAGTAGGAGTAGGAGTAGGAGTAGGAGTAGGAGTAGGAGTAGGAGTAGTAGGAGTAGGAGTAGGAGGAGGAATAGGAGTAGGAGTAGGAGTAGGAGTAGTAGGAGTAGGAGTAGGATAGGAGTAGCAGTAGGAGGAGCAGGAGCAGGAGCAGGAGCAGGAGCAGGAGCAGGAGCAGGAGCAGGAGCAGGAGCAGGAGCAGCAGCAGCAGCAGCAGCAGCAGCAGCAGTCGCAGTCGCAGTAGCAGCAGCAGCAGCAGGAGTAGCAGGAGTAGCAGGAGTAGCAGTAGCAGCAGCAGCGGTAGTAATAGTAGTAGAGTGGAGCAAGAAAGGCAGTAGTCTCGTTGCCATTCCGTATTCTGGCGATGATGATCTCTTATTCAATCATGAGCAGCCCTGTCCATGGAGTTCCCCAAAGAAGTGTCCCGTATCGAGTTAGAGCAGCCCCGATCTGCCCCAGCTGCAGGGCTCTACGGATGTCTAGTGTAGGGGCCTTAATAATTAGAGTAGGGATCTGGGGCCCGTTATACTATAATTATAATAAGGAACCCCCAAAATAGTATAGAATGATTAAGGCCCTATATTAGAGTCTACACGCACGTCCCGGGAATGCACTGCCCATTGACACAGGTTCCGAGCATGGTTTTCTGTGTCGAGAGACATGTCGGAATTGTCGGACATTCCAGGCACCGAGCTTCGCAGGATTGGCCCATGCAGGCACCATTTTCGCAAGTTTGGCAGCTGTCACAGAGGCTGCAATCCTGCGGTCCGAGATTCGCGAGGCTCAAGCATGGCCGGCCTATGCATGCCCTGTTTACACAAGTCTGGCAGGCGTCACATGATCCTGTGCAGTCGTGAACATGCCATGGACGGTGATGATGCGAATGGGGCCTTGGCCGATCAGGCCGGTCGCGTCCCCCACCCCGCGGCCCAGGTCGCGCCAGGAACTCTTCCGTGACCGCTTCTGCCGGCGCACTGCCGCGCAGTGACTTCTCGGTCGCATTCTCCGCAGAAATGCTCAAGACCATCGTCAACATCAACACGGCGAACATGGCAAAGAGGGCAAGGGGTGCACACCGGGCCTAACAGCTCGAGCCGGCTGATTCTCTGTCGCCGTTTGCACTTGCACGCTTCCGCGCCTCAGCCATGCCTTCTCCATAGAAACCTCGATCCAGAGGCTTATGCAACATCCCCTTTTAAAGGGTTCTATAACTGCTACTATACGGCTTTTGTGTTTTTGTAAGGACGTAATATAGGGGCCTTAACAATTAGAATAGGGTGTTGGGGCCCATTACACTAAAATTATCATAAGGGACCCCCGAAATAGTCTTGGAAATTATCAAGGCCCCTATATTAAGCCCTGACAGAGTCCTCAAAGCCTGACCGTGGGACCCTAAAACCCGCACACCATAAACAATACTGTCCTGCAACCGCACCCAAACCCTGAACGCTGAACCCTAAAGGCCACCAAAAGCCCGGAACCCAGAACAAAGCAAACCCAAGCAACCCCTAAGCCTTGAACCTTACACCATATCAAAGACCAAACCCGACAGGCCTTACACAACTATGCTCCAACTTTCCGGGATTCCCTATACCCCCAAGCTGTCCGCTCCACTTGCCGCCCTCTGGCCTTGTGGCCAACGTTGTTTCCCCGCTCGCAGCCTCACAAGCTCAGCACTGTGCATCTGGCATTTAGGTCTAGGATTCAGGGTCAAACGGTGTGAAGGTTTTGGAGTTCAAGACTGCTTGGACACATAGTTCTAAGATGTTGGGCCTTCAGACTGCATGAAGCTTCTGAGTATTTATTGAGCAGACTCCACAACCGCGGCAAGAGCCAAACGGCCATTATAGCACCAGGAAGCTAACGATCAAGATGCTGATTGCCGTGGTGGTCCTATAGTATAGAGTACTGGTGGTAGAGATGATCGTGGTGGTTGTGGTGTTGTTCATCCGAGGGTCAGGAGAGAAAAACTCACAAAACCCCTGAAGCACCGAGCCTGCGCACAGCGTCTCGTAGCCGGACCTGTGACACCGCTCCGACATGCAAGAGGTTCATGCTAATTTTTGAGCCATTACTGTATAAGGTCAGAAAGCCTGAGAAGGCAAGGGGGAAGGGAGAAAATCTCACCATTACTGGGCTTGTAAGTAACCAGGGAGAAAACAGTATGCACATTTTATTTCAGAATGGTTCCTTTAAGAAAAAGGATTAAAGTATGGTACTTAGGGTTTAGGGGTCCAGGGGTTTAGGGGTTTAGGGTTCTAGGGCTAGGGTTGAGGGCTTCAGCTTCTCCTGCGATGCTTCCCTGCACTCTGCCGATGAAACTCTGGGTCGTTTCTTTTGAACCTGCAAGCCTGCACTCCAATATCGGCAGCATTGCTGCTGGTAGCTTCAGGTCATGCAGGCCCCTATAGACGCTAAATACATAGCACGCCGACAACAGTAAGAAGTCTCAGAGTTTGAGCGCGTGGTCATACTCCAGGGCGCGATAAGGCGAGAATGGTAAGCAGAATGGCAAGTAAGTTAGATGTTGAACAACATAGGGGCCGTAACAAATAGAGTAGGTTTGGGACTCCATCCTACTACACTTGTCAGACTGCTGGTAATTGACTATTTAGGGCCCATGCATATTCTAAGGACTACAGCTTCTAGTACTGTGTTGAGTGCGTCAAGACCTGCTCCACATCTCCTTGAACCTGTCCGCAAGAGCACCCGAAGAAAAGGATCCTGCAAATCCTGCTTGGCAGTCGCATAACAGAGGACCCTCTTATAGAACCCGTATAAGTCACTCTTGTAGACCGATCAATGCCTTAATTGAGCCCCACTCCAAAGATTTGAAAGAAGCTAGGTTTCTGAATAACCGCTTTATATTAGGGGTACCCTTACTCATACTATAGGGTTTTCATGAGGGGACCACAGAATTAAGAGGGCAAAAGGGTACTACACGGGAGCCCAGTAGACCCTAAGCCCCTGTAGATCCCTAAACGATCTATTTAAGGATCCCTGAAAGAAGCATTTTAAGGAAGCCTTTAAAGAGGGGTCTTTGAAGCTCCGGCTCGGGCCTTCTCTCCCACAGCGCCATCTGGCTGCAC